GTGACAAGCACATTTGTACATTTGTTGCCATCATTGTTTCCTTTTATAAATCGTTTTATTAGGGGCTCATACAACTCTTATCACAATCCATACATGCATCAATTGTGTAAAGCACATTTGTACATTCATTGCCCTCATCATTTTCAAAACATTTGCTCTCCACTTAAGCTCACATTGAAATTTTTTATAGATACTGCCAAAGTGGCCTACAAAACTGAAAATGAATGATCAATAAACAGGATAGTTACTTGCTTATCTCATAAAACTGCATTAGACCTGCCACAAAAACAGGGAGAGACAAAATAAAACTAAATCACTCCCACTCATGAAATAGCCTAATCACTTTTTATTTGGTATTCATTGTTTTTATCCACTAACAATATACAAGTATATATTATTGTATAACATCATCTTGCCAGTTAAAGAAGTAACAATGGTATTTCATTATTTTGATGATTATTAGTAACCTTTTTGAAGCAACCTTTTTGAAAACTCATTGTCCTTTTGAACTTTTCGGTAAGTTATATGTTCATTTCAAGTTTCTCATCACCCAAAAGAGACATTCACGGCCCACCCCTCCAGCAAGAATTCCCCATCTCCCCACACCTCTAGACCCTGGTTGTCACTAATAAACTTTTCTCTCTATGTACTTGCCTCTTCTAGATCAAACAGTATTTGTCCTGTTGATTCAGAGTTATTTCACTTATCATAATGTTTTGCTAAATTTTCTTTTTCCTGACATTACTAATTATTGGCTTTTTTATTAGAATTTTTCCATGTACCATATTTGTAAATCCATGTTAAATTCTTTGCCAGTTTTCTAAACCTCTTCACAGCCCATTCATTGCATCAGATAGTCTATCTCTTTCATGCTCTTAGTGAATTCTCCCCCTGAACTTCCTGACCTTTGTTTGTTTGTTGTTGCTATTGTTTTTATAAACAATTTCATTGGATTACTATCCAAATTGACCTGCACCCTGTGAACTACTCCTGGTGCTCAGCTCTGGTCCCAGGCTCTCCCTCACCACCATCGTATGCATCTCTTCCATGTTACAGTCTCTTATTCTCCCTTCACCACCATTGTATGCATCTCTTCCATGTTACAGTCTCTTATTCTCCCTTCACCACCATTGTATGCATCTCTTCCATGTTACAGTCTCTTATCACCCATCTCTCCTTTTTCTTGGCTCAGTCCCTCATTTTGGTGGCCCACAGGGTGTCTAAGTGGGGTAAAAAGAGTTTAGTTCCTGAATATTTTTACTCTTATACTTGCTTGAGAATTGGTTGGATAGCTCTATTTATTTTTCAAATATAAAGCGAGATGAAAACATTTAATGTCACACAAAAAATGATAGTAAGATCAGTGAAAACATTCCCAAATGTATCTACGCAAACTCTGGATCCCAAGGAAAGATGCTGCAGAGAAAATAGCCATGAGAGGGCCCTATCTGACTTCTTCTCCCATTCCAATGGCCCCAAGGCAGGAGCCAGACCCGTCTCCACCCTCCATCTTTCTTGACCTACTCTAACACCACCATCCCTCTCAAGGCACTCTGCTTCTCTGCTGGGTTCACTAATTCCTGCAGTGGCCACACAGAACTCACAGACAGTACTCAAAATTAAGGGGACTTATCAGGGGAGTTAACAGGATTAGTAAACAGTAAGGCTAACGAACAAAAACAGTAAAGATACAGTCAGTGATCCACAGCAACACTTCTCGCCCTGTAGCCAAGTCCCTCTCCAGTCCTCAGCCTCTCAGTCTGGTGGCCCCTTGGCCTTCACCTCAATGAGACAGGAAGCCAACCTGATGCTCTGCCGCAGTGTCTTACAGTCTGGGCTACCCCGGTGTTCTGTCACCTGGTCTCCCTTTGGCCCCTAGTGCCTCTGGTCTTGGCTTCTGCTACTTTAGACAGAGATCTTAAATGTGCTACACTTCCATTGGTCCTGGAATTTCTTTCTCTTCCTTCCTTGACAGCTTGCTTTTTTTTTTTTTGTAGTTTCATTGGCACACAATCCACATATTATACAATTTAATAGTTCATCATACCAAAAAGAGTTTTACAATCTTTACCATAATCATGACTCATTCTTACAACCAGGGGAGTGGCAGCTAAAACTGATCAACCCTCTCTATTAGCGTTACATATGCCTTATTTACGTAGCCCCACCCAATTGTTTGGTGGGAATTACAGAGACAGGGATAGAAGAGCCATATTAAGTAATTTCTCTCCACCACAAATGTCTCTGCTCCTCCTCAAGATGCTTGAAAATGTGCAATTCGTAAACTCCACATGAATTTAACGTTTCTGTTTCTTTCATATTTTTAAACAGGGATCCATCTGTAATGACTTTATGGCGACTTATTGCTGCCCTCACTGTTCTCTCTGTCAAATCAAGAGAGACATCAATAGAAGGAGAGCCATGAATGCGTTCTAAAGAGCTAATTGTAAGTGGCCAGAAACGCCCCTCCCAGAATCTGTGGACTTTTTGAAGCACAATTAAAGACTTTGTAAACTACTCATTGTTCTGGATAGCAATTCAGTGATAATTCCTTAAGTCACTGAAAGTGTTATCTTAATATAAAGTTTTATTTCACTTTTTTCTTAGGAAGAAGACTGTTTTGTACCTTGGGATGTTATTTTAGTAAATAATAGTGAATTTTCTAGACTTCTCAGACTTCTTTTGGTCTATTTGACAAAACCTTTAAAAAAAAAACCTAAAAAAAAACAACTCACTGCCATCGAGTTGATTCTTATTCATAGTGACCTTATAGGACAGGGTAGAACTGTCCCTGTGGGGTTTTGAGACTGTAACCCTTTGTGAGAGTAGAAAGCCTCACCTTTCTCATGTGGAGTAGCTGGTGCTATCCAACTGCTGAGCTTGAGGTTAGCAGCCCAGGGCATAAGTAGTCCGCTACCGCCGCTCCTTAACTATTTGTAAAACAGGAGGGTAAATACTGTGAAAATGATACAAAAGGGGTAGAAAGCATGCCTTCTGACAAATGACTTCACACAGGAAATCGGCAAATTACAAAATAGTAAAGCAAATGAAAATTACATATTGGGTAATACTTGGGTTGAGTGTAGTATAAAATAGCTAACGCAGTGCGGAAATTTAAACAGAAATGCAGAAGGTGAACTTTGGAGGAGCTGGCTATAGACTTCAGACTATTTGGAAACATACAGATTTTCAAAATCTGTAGTCAACCAATTGTTCCTAGTTTCCTAGGATTAGATATTGGGAATATATTAAAGTAGAAATTGTCATGGTATAGGCAGTTCCCTATAGAATACAGCTTGTAATATAAAACACATTTTGAGTAAGGGAAGAAAACACATTTTTCTATTCTTTGCAATATCCCACTCTATTGAGTAAGTGTATAACCTATTGAATAGGTTAACAGAAAGAACTCTTGCAATCAACTTGATGGCCATCAGTCTTTTGTATAGGTGCTGACTTTGCAACTTTTCTGTGAATCTAAAATGATTTAAAAATTATGTTTATTAAAAATAAAAGTGTACATTGATAAAGCATGTTTTCCTATTTGTCTCTTACAGATAAAAAGCTCTTACTGGAACAACTAAAATCAGCATATATGCCTTCAGCTTGACAACTTCTCCACATTTAGCATCTGAAATATGATAAATAAGTTTAATCAGAATTGATGGGCAAAACATCAATGGTTTTGTTTATTTTAAAAGAATGTTGTCCCTTGGTTTTGCTCTTTTCTGACTTGTAAATTTTGGAGATTTCATTTAAAATCTAAACCAAGGGTTTTGCTCTCATGATCTCATCATTTGATGTCTCAATCAGAGAGCTTACTTCATATGCAACTCTCTCCCTCTCATCTAAGAACCTCAAGAAAAAAGGTGATGGTAAAATAATGACTCCAGGACAATTATGGGACATTTAGGGAATGTACCGCCCTCCTTTCATATTATCTATAATTGTTGTTGATGCTGAGAATACAAGATTTTATGTAAACAAAACGGCATGATTTGTTTGTTGTGTTGTTGATTTTCTTTCCCTTTTGAATATGAGGAATCAGCAAATAATAAAAATTCAATAATAAAATTAAATATTGCTCACTTTTGGTTACATGCTAAAGGATACGTGTGTGAAGCACCAATTTTTCACATTTCTTATCCTTTTTGATCTGGCATTTACCATTGATGAACCACTCCTACACTATCTTTTTTTAAACAGTTTCATTGGCATACAATTCACATATCAGACAAAGGAAAATGCTGATGTGGTGATGATTGTACAACTCTTCTTGATCTGCTTGGAAAAAAACGGTGCATACATGAACTGGAATCATAACAGGAATACATTTTTTAACGGTTTCATTGGCATGTAATTCACATATACAATTCAATAGTTCAGTCGCATCAAGAAGAGTTATACATTCATCACCACCATCAGCTTTAGAACGCTTTCTTTGCTCTGATATTCATCATTATCAGCTCCCCGTTTCCCTCAAATTCCCTGCCATACACCACCACCCCACCCCACCCGCAAAAAACCCTACTGCCATCAAGTCAATTCCAATTTTAGCGACTGTCCCAAGTGCATTCCATCTGTTGGTGGCAAACTGATTCCACTATGCAAGCACGGCTCTTTTATTTACCCTATAACGTGCTTTAATTTCTCACCGCTGCTATAGCAAAGTACCACAAAGTGGATTGCTAGAAAGAATAGAAGTGCGTTTTCTTACAGTTTGAGAGGCCAGAAGTTGAATTCAAGTTATTGGCAGAGCTATGTCTTTTCTCTGCCAGATCTGGAAGACCCTTCCTTCCATTCCGACAGTTTCTGTTGGCCCTGGGCATTGCTTAGGGGAGGATTCTATCTCTCCCCTGTGTGTCACTTGCTCTTTTTATAAGACATTAGGATGAGACTCCAGCCTACTCCAATGTGACCCTGCTTAACTGATAACAATAGAAGCATCCGTTTTTCAAGCAAGGTCATAATAACAAGTCCAGGAGTTGTGAGGTGCCATCGAATGGATTTTGACCCATATCCACTTCACACACAACAGAAACACTGCCCACCCCTGTGCCATCCTCACAATTGTTCCTATCCTTGAGTCCATTGATGCAACCATTATGTCAATCCATCTCCTTGACAGTCATCCTCTTTTTTGCTGCCCTTCTACCAGGATGGAGCTCTGGTAGTGTAGTTGTTGTGCACCGGCCTGCGATCCACCAGGTCAGCAGTTTGAAACTACCAGCTGCTCCACTGGAGAAAGACAGAGATTCCTGCACCCATTAAGAGGGACAGTCTCGACCTCATAGTGGTGGCCGGTTGGGCGCCATGTGGCGGTCGCTGACCTGTGAGGGTGGCGGGTGGGCCCCGAGCCCGGGGCCAGCCTCCGCGGGTGCGCAGAAGCTGCGCGGATGCTGAGCCCTCTCTGGCGGGGACGATGGTGAAGTATTTCCTGGGCCAGAGCGTGCTCCGGGGTTCCTGGGACCAAGTGTTCGCCACCTTCTGGCAGCGGTACCGAACCCCTGCAGCAAGCATGTCCTGACAGAAGACATAGTGCACCGGGAGGTGACCCCTGACCTGAAGCTCCTGTCCAGGTGACTCCTGACTAAGACCAACAGGATGCCCCTCTGGGCCCAGTGACTGTTTCCTGCCACTCTGAGTCCATCCTGGAGGACTCCATTGTGGACCCACCTTCACCTGGAACATCAACCATGCCTGGCTCATGGTGGTGCAGAAGCGCTGTGTTTACTGCATGAATGCCCACAACCGGGAGGCCTGGGTCTCCTCCAACTTGTTTGGTGTCTCCCGAGCTGTCCAGGAATTTGGTCTGGCCCGGTTTAAAAGCAATGTGACCACGACGATGAAGGGTTTTGAGTACATCCTGGCCAAGCTGCAAGGTGAGGCCCCTTCTAAGACGCTTGTTGAAACCGCCAAGGAAGCCACAGAAAAGGCAAAGGAGACGGCACTGGCAGCTACCAAGGCCAAGGCCCTTGCCAGCAAGGCCGCCACCAAGAAGCAGCCCAGCAGCAGTTCGAGTAGCCAGCCCAGCTCCCTGCCCTCACCTCGACCAGACGATCTGGCTTGATCCCCCTGACCTGCCTGCTGGTGCTGCGGTTTCTTGAGCAGGGAGAATGAACATGGAACCAGACAGACATACGCACACACACACAGACAATACAGGGCTGCAGCACAAAATAGACACAAACAGAGACGGTACAAACTGCAGTCGCCTTGAAGGCCGGCAGCGCTTTCTTCTTAAGTACTAAATACTGGCAGTGGTCCCAGGTAAGTTTGCTATTCCCACGCTTGAATTTCTCATAGCATTGAGAGTGAGTTCCACATCTCAGCCCATACCACTTTTGATTTACTTTCTACCAGGGAAACACTGTTTGCAGCTGCCACCCCCCCACCCCACCCCAATCACATTATCTGCTTTCTCCCAGTCTGCACCTATGGCCACCTGGGGAGTTCCTTACCATACTTTAACTGAAGACCAAAAAAGTCATGCTCGGTTTACGGATGGCTCTGCACGATATGCAGATGCCACTCGTAAGTGGACAGCAGCAGCACTACAGCCCCTTTCTGGGATTTCCCTAAAGGACAGTGGTGAAGGGAAATCTTCCCAATGGGCAGAACTTCGAGCGGTGCATCTGGCCGTTCAGTTTGCATATAAGGAGAAATGGCCAGATGTGAGACTGTATACTGATTCGTGGGCTGTGGCTAATGGCTTGGCTGGATGGTCAGGGAATTGGAAGAACCATGATTGGAAAATTGGTGACAAGGAGGTGTGGGGAAGAGGTATGTGGATAGACCTCTCTGAATGGGCCAAGAAAGTAAAGATAATTGTATCTCATGTGAACGCGCACCAAAGAATTACCTCTGACGAGGAGGACTTTAATAATCAAGTGGATAAGATGACACTCCTGTTATCGCCCGAATTCCTTACCATTTGCAGTAAGGAAGCAGTTTATGAGAACCAGCTAGGGCAGACATTTGCATACTGTCCTAGACAAATACATGACATGAGACACAGCTCTCCCTTCATGGCTCCTTCAGCCTGCAGTATGCTTTCTTAATTAAAATTCAACTTCCAGCCCCTATGTACTGTCTGGGGGTGTGGTGGTGGTGTGTCCATTTGGCACTACAGGACACCAAGCACATCACCCATGTGTGTGCCAGGCCTGCTTATTTCCCCCGGGGGCAGCTGAGGGGCAGAGGGGTGCAGACCTGCCCCAACAGCTCACAATGGCCAGGAACTGTTGTCTTGAACACTAGACTGTAAGCTCCACAGAAGCAGAGATCTGTTTGCTCTCTGATGTGTCCCAGGTACTGAAACAATACTTAGCACGAGGCACTCAATAAATACTTGTTGAATTTTTTTTAAAAAGGAGTGACAGTCTCAGTGTCCTAAAGGATCACCATAAGTCAGCATCAACTCAATCGATGGCAGGGTTGGTTTTCTTGGTTGTCTACTTTGCCAAGCATGACTTTACCAAGGGACTGGTCTCCTGACATGTCCAAAGTACATTATGACTAAGTCTTGCCATCCTTGCCTCTAAGGAGCACTCTGGCCTTTCTTCTTCCAACACAGACCAGTTTGCCCATTTAGCAGTCCACGGTACTTTCACTACTCTGCATCAGCACCCCAATGCATTGGTTCTTCTTTGGTCTTCCTTATTCAAGGTCCAACTTTCACATGCATGAGGCAAGTGAATGTATTAAGTCTTGGGTCAGGTGTGCCTTAGTCCTCAAAGTAACATCCTAGAATTTCAATACTCTGAAGAAGTCTTGTGCAGCAGATTAACCTAATTCAACACATCTTTTAATCTCTTAGCTGCTGCTTCCATGAGCATTAATACAAGCAAGACAAAATCCTTGACAACTTCAACCTTATCTCTATTTATCATGATATTATCTATTGGGCCAGCTGTGAGGATTTGGGTCTTCTTGATATTGAGTTTTAATCCATACTGAAGGCTGCAATCCTTCAGTAGCAAGTGCCTGGGTACTTCTGGCTTTTAACAAGCAAGGCTGTGTCATCTAAATAGTTTAGGCTGTTAATGAGCCTTCCTCTAATCCTGATGCAGTGTTCATCATACAGTCCAGCATCTCAGATTACTTTCTCAGCATATAGATTGAATCAGTATGGTGAAGATACTACCTGCTCAGCACACCTTTCCTGATTTTAAACCATGCAGTAGGCCCTTATTCTATTTGCACAACTGTCTCTTGATCCGTATACAAGTTCGACAGAAGCACAATGAAATGTTCTGGAATTTCCATTCTTCTAAAGGCTACCCAGCTTGTTATGAGTCACACAGTCAAATGCCTTGATATAGTCAATAAAATACAGAGGTTAGGATTCAACATATCTTGTTGGTAGAAACAAGCTAATCCATAACAAAGGCTGACTGTAAAGCTTCAGTGAGATAAAATGTCAAACCAACTGGAACTTAGTAAGTACTGGCAAACTTGAAGCAGCCTGCCCATTCATTTCCTTGCCCTGTAGACATGACGGTGGTTTTGTAAAGCTCAAGAGAGAAAGATGTAACAATCTGTTTCTATAAATGTTTAGTTTTGGCACAGGGAATCCAGGGCCGTTGATCCCTTCAGGACCAGTGGTGAGAGTGGCGATACTGGGAGGGTGGAGCGAAGGTGGGGTGGACAGAAGGAACCAATTACAAGGATCTACATATAACCTCCTCCCTGGGGGATGGACAACAGAAAAGTGGGTGAAGGGAGACATTGGACAGTGCAAGATATGACAAAATAATAATTTATAAATTAGCAAGGGTTCATGAGGGCAGGGGGAGCGGGGAGAGAGGGGAAAAACTGAGCTGATACCAGGGCCTTAAGTGGAGAGCAAATGTTTTGAGAATGATGAGGGCAATGAATGTACAAATGTGCTTTACACAACTGATGCATGTATGGATTGTGATGAGTTGTATGAGCCCCTAATAAAATGATTTTTTAAATTTAGTTTTGGAAATGCTATGGGGCTGTTGTGCCCATAGGGTCTCTGAGTCAGAATTG